GACTTAGTAAGCTTCACAGCTTAGGGGACCGAACAGTTAGTCCCCGATACAGTCCATGACTTAGTAAGCTTCACAGCTTAGGGGACCGAACAGTTAGTCCCTGATACAGTCCACGACTTAGTAAGCTTCACAGCTTAGGGGACCGAACAGTTAGTCCCCGACACAGTCCACGACTTAGTAAAGCTTCACAGCTTAGGGGACCGAACAGTTAGTCTCCGACATAGAACTAGCTTAGTTAGCTGCACAGCATACTTTTTTATTCATTTTCTTATGACCTCGTTAATTAATATTACGTTTACCTCCAAATGAATTTTCTATGTCTTCATGTTCTAACATGCACTTGTACAGTAAGCAATTACACGGTATTGACGTTTGTCCTTACATTAAATCTACGAATTGTTTCCTTTGCCCTGAATTCTGAAATAACTTATTTTCTCTTTGAAAACATTAACTGAAAAAATGTCCCTGTGTCATGAAAAGAGCTTATGCTATACATACCAACACAATACCTGTCCAATGAGAAATATCTGAGTTGGAAGGGAGATAACCGTATATCTGAATATAAATATAGAGACATCTGAGGAGGAAGGGAGATAGCCCAAAGGAAGATAACCCTATATTAGCTTAAACTGTGATAAATATAATCTACGGAACTTGTTCAATATTCCGTTGAAAACCTGAACGTAACACATGGCCTTTACACTTGTATAATATATTATATACTTGTAAATATATGGTTGATGTTACCCATACAAGGTTAAAGACATCTTTGATCAATAGTTAACATCCAGATCAAGTGGGTGAACACAAAAAAAAAAAAAAAAAAAAAACTNGTATATGATATATTAGAAGACATTTATTTGGTTACAGAACTGTTGATATGTGGAAAAGTCTTTCTGAGGCGTTCATACAGGCTACAACGATTAGGGACTTTGGAATTAGTTTGGATAATCATTGGGAAAAACTTAGCTAGCTAGATTTAAAAGCGAGATTGATTTTTTACATATAGCGGCAAGTAATTGCCTTCGTCCATCATGTATCCTATTAAATCCTATCAAAATTACATGTATGTTGACAAAGCATATTACAGAAAATATCTATGAAGTACAGTATCATTATACAGACATGGAAGTTAACCCCCTTCCCCACACACACCCCTTTTTATATTATTAAATCAAGAATGAATTATTAAAATATATATGTGTTGTATTTTTCACTAAGTTTATGATGGACAATGAAGCTAAAGACAATATTTTAAAGTTATGTAGTTAGTAGAAATTAGCAAATTCGTATCCGACTTACACTATATACATGTAAATTATAATGTGTAAGCAATAGCAAGACATATCACTATTTTAGGCTAAATAAGATAGATAACATTGAACAATACGCTACACGTGGTATATACGCTGATAATCCAAAAAAGTAAAAAAAAAAAACATCAGTTAATCTATATAGCTAATTGAACATTAATTTAAAATATCTTTTTTTTTCAATTTTGACACCTGTTTCGCATGTTAAAACATACTTAAATATTGGCAATAAACTGTGTCTTTTCATTTTTGTCCATATACCACCATCGGAGAGGACTTATATAAGCTTTAAAGCTGTTGTCCAATTCTTTTGATGTTTTACAAAATCAATATGCACTATATCTGATATAAAGACATCTGAGAAGGAAGGGAAGGGAGATAACCCATATCATCCTAATTTCTATATGTGATATAAAGACATATGAGAAGGAAGGGAGGGAGATAACCCATGTCATCCTAATTACTATATCTGATATAAAGACATCTAAGGAGGAAGGGAAGGGAGATAATCCATATCACCCCAATTACTATATCTTATATAAAGACATCTCAGAAGGAAGGGAAGGGAGATAACCCATATCACCCTAATTACTATATCTGATATAAAGACATCTGAGGAGGAAGGGAAGGGAGATAATCCATATAACCCTAGTTACTATATCTGATATAAAGACATCTGGGGAGGAAGGGAAGGGAGATAACTCATATCACCCTTATAATTATATCTGATATAAAGACATCTGAGGAGGAATGGAAGGGATATAACCCATATCATCCTAATTACTATATCTGATATCAAGACATCTTGAGAGGAGGGGAAGGAAGATAACCCATATCACCCTAATTACTATATCTGATATAAAGACATCTGGGGAGGAAGGGAAGGGAGATAACCCATATCACCCTTATAATTATATCTGATATAAAGACATCTGAGGAGGAATGGAAGGGATATAACCCATATCATCCTAATTACTATATCTGATATCAAGACATCTTGAGAGGAGGGGAAGGAAGATAACCCATATCACCCTAATTACTATATCTGATATAAAGACATCTTAGGTGGAAGGCAGATAATCCAATCACCCTCATTGCTTTATCTGATATAAAGACATCTGAGGAGGGAGGGAAGGCAAATAACCCTTGTCAACCTAATTACTATATCTGATATAAAGACAGCTGGGGAGGAAGGGAAGGGAGATAACCCATATCACCCTAATTACTATATCTCATATAAAGACATCTGAGGAATAAGGGAAGGGAGATAACGCATATTACCCTAATTACTATATCTCATATAAAGACATCCTAGGAGGAAGGCAGATAATCCCAATCACCCTTATTACTATATCTGATATAAAGACATATGAGGGGAAATGGAGATAACCCACAGAGTGATAACCAAATACTCACTAGTTTTCAGATATTATGACATACAAGGACCAAGGGAAATAACCCTAAGGTAGCTAATTCTATAGTTACAATCTGGGTGCATACACATCTGAGGAGGAAGGGACTGACCAAACAAGTGATAACCCAAAACTTACTGACTCTGGATGTATACACATCTGGGGAGAAAGGGACATAACCAAACAAGTGATAACCCTATACTTACTGGCTATGGATGTATACACATCTGATGAGGAGGAGGGACATAACCAAACAAGTGATAACCCTATAATTACTGGCTCTGGATGTATACACATCTGATGAGGAGGAGGGGACATACCCAAACAAGTGATAACCCAATTCTTACTGGCTCCGGATGTATACACATCTGAGGAGGAGGAGGAGGGGACAAAACCAAACAAGTGATAACCTTATACTTACTGGTTCTGGATGTATACACATCTGATGAGGAGGAGGGGACATAACCAAACAAGTGATAGCCCTATACTTACTGGCTCTGGATGTATACACATCTGAGGAGGAGGAGGGGACATAACCAAACAAGTGATAACCTTATACTTACTGGCTCTGGATGTATACACATCTCAGGAGAAAGGGACATAACCAAACAAGTGATAACCCTATAATTACTGGCTCTGGATGTATACACATCTGCTGAGGAGGAGGGGACATAACCAAACAAGGGATAACCCTATACTTACTGGCTCTGGATGCATACACATCTGAGGAGGAGGAGGGGACATAACCAAACAAGGGATAACCCTATACTTACTGGCTCTGGATGTTTACACATCTGAGGAGGGGCATTAATACATACTTACTGGCTCTGGAGGTATAGACATCTGAGTTGATGTAGACAGTGCACTGATTCTCAATAGTTGGCATGACGTCACTAGGGAAGGAAGACGGCGTAAATAACCCGCCATTCGGAGCCTCAACTTGAAATATTGTCAGAAGATGTAATTAACAATCGCATCAATAACATTATATAAAACATCGTTATTTAGCAAAGAAAACAAAGTTTATCATCATGTGCAAAACACTCGGACTTAATAACAATAATTCTCTTCGTAAAACATTTTGATTTAGTAATAAGGCGATGGGTGTAATTATGTAACAAATATGTGTATCGTTCTATCTATTGCTATTTAGATCAATCTACCGTTTCGCCGCCTGATGTTAAACTCTGCTGGCACGTCCATTATCTGGGGCAACTGGAGACAAAGAATACCGGTCTGGTCAGTTGTTCTGGAAAATAGGAATTTCGTCGTAGGCATAAAATATAAGTATTTTTAATAAGCTATATTCAGAAGAAGATAAGTTATGAAAAGTTTTTTGTCTAATCAATCTTAAAAGATGTAATAGTTACACCAAGGGAATTTGTTGTATAGAACGTTTGTTTGGGTACACCATTCAGCGTCGGTGAAAAAGAGGACTCACCTAAGAAGTATGTCCGAGTACCGACTTTCTATACAGTCTAATTGTTGTGTTTTCCCTCCCATTACGATCTCGACATCGTGTGTTCGTATAGTCAGTTCCTCTCCCGGTATTCTTTCAAAGCGGTTGTCTACTAACTGGTGTTTACCTCGGAGATAACGCGGGATGGTGCATTTAGCTGTGAAAAGGGAATCATGACTAAATAGACCGTGATGATAATCTCAACATCTCACAGGTAAAAAACAAATATACTTGTACTAATCTAGAAAAGTAATTTGATTAAGCAAAGTTGTAGATATTAACAATATAAATGTACAACTGTTTACCCAAGTACTATAAAAACAAAAACGTGTTCATTTATTTGAATAAAAACACGTCTCCATACACAAAATAGATAGGTATATAAGTAAACTACTAGCAGTTTCGACAAACATACGACGCATGTACCCAGGCCATAATTAAAGTACCACGTATGTACTCTGGTTAATATAAACTTACAACGTATGTACCCTGGCTAATATAAACTTACCACGTTTGTACCCTGGCTAATAAAAACGTACCACGTATGTACCCTGGCCAATATAAACTTACAACGTATGTACCCTGGCTAATATAATCATACCACGTATGTACCCTGGCCAATATAAACATACCACGTATGTACCCTGGTCAATATAAAAATACCACGTATGTACCCTGGCCAATATAAACGTACCACGTATGTGCTCTGGTCAATTTAAACGTACCACGTATGTACCCTGGCCAATTTAAACGTACCACGTACGTACCCTGGCCAATAAAACATACCACGTATGTACCCTGGTCATTATAAAAATACCACGTATGTACCCTGGCCAATATTTATGTACCTTGGACAATATAAACGTACCACGTATGTACACTGGTCAATATAAAAATACCACGTATGTACCCTGGCCAAGATAAACGTACCACGTATGTGCTCTGGCCAATTTAAACGTACCACGTATGTGCCCTGGTCAATTTAAACGTACCACGTATGTACCCTGGCCAATATAAACATACCACGTACGTGTATGTACCTTGGACAATATAAACGTACCACGTATGTACCCTGGCCAATTTAAACGTACCACGTATGTACCCTGGCCAATATAAACGTACCACGTATGTACCCTGGTCAATATAAACATACCACGTATGTACCCTGGTCAATATAAACATACCACATATGTACCCTGGTCAATACATATGTATAAACGTACCACGTATGTACCCTGGTCAATATAAACGTACCACGTATGTACCCTGGTCAATATAAACATACCACGTATGTACCCTGGTCAATATAAACATACCACATATGTACCCTGGTCAATACATATGTATAAACGTACCACGTATGTACCCTGGTCAATATAAACATACCACGTATGTACCCTGGTCAATATAAACATACCACGTATGTACCCTGGTCAATATAAACATACCACATATGTACCCTGGTCAATACATATGTATAAACGTACCACGTATGTACCCTGGTCAATATAAACATACCACGTATGTACCCTGGTCAATATAAACATACCACGTATGTACCCTGGTCAATATAAACATACCACATATGTACCCTGGTCAATACATATGTATAAACGTACCACGTATGTACCCTGGTCAATATAAACATACCACGTATGTACCCTGGTCAATATAAACATACCACGTATGTACCCTGGTCAATATAAACATACCACATATGTACCCTGGTCAATACATATGTATAAACGTACCACGTATGTACCCTGGTCAATATAAACGTACCACGTATGTACCCTGGTCAATATAAACATACCACGTATGTACCCTGGTCAATATAAACATACCACATATGTACCCTGGTCAATACATATGTATAAACGTACCACGTATGTACCCTGGTCAATATAAACGTACCACGTATGTACCCTGGTCAATATAAACATACCACGTATGTACCCTGGTCAATATAAACATACCACATATGTACCCTGGTCAATACATATGTATAAACGTACCACGTATGTACCCTGGTCAATATAAACGTACCACGTATGTACCCTGGTCAATATAAACATACCACGTATGTACCCTGGTCAATATAAACATACCACATATGTACCCTGGTCAATACATATGTATAAACGTACCACGTATGTACCCTGGTCAATATAAACGTACCACGTATGTACCCTGGTCAATATAAACATACCACGTATGTACCCTGGTCAATATAAACATACCACATATGTACCCTGGTCAATACATATGTATAAACGTACCACGTATGTACCCTGGTCAATATAAACGTACCACGTATGTACCCTGGTCAATATAAACATACCACGTATGTACCCTGGTCAATATAAACATACCACATATGTACCCTGGTCAATACATATGTATAAACGTACCACGTATGTACCCTGGTCAATATAAACGTACCACGTATGTACCCTGGTCAATATAAACATACCACGTATGTACCCTGGTCAATATAAACATACCACATATGTACCCTGGTCAATACATATGTATAAACGTACCACGTATGTACCCTGGTCAATATAAACATACCACGTATGTACCCTGGTCAATATAAACATACCACATATGTACCCTGGTCAATACATATGTATAAACGTACCACGTATGTACCCTGGTCAATATAAACATACCACGTATGTACCCTGGTCAATATAAACATACCACGTATGTACCCTGGTCAATATAAACATACCACATATGTACCCTGGTCAATACATATGTATAAACGTACCACGTATGTACCCTGGTCAATATAAACATACCACGTATGTACCCTGGTCAATATAAACATACCACGTATGTACCCTGGTCAATATAAACATACCACATATGTACCCTGGTCAATACATATGTATAAACGTACCACGTATGTACCCTGGTCAATATAAACATACCACGTATGTACCCTGGTCAATATAAACATACCACATATGTACCCTGGTCAATACATATGTATAAACGTACCACGTATGTACCCTGGTCAATATAAACATACCACGTATGTACCCTGGTCAATATAAACATACCACATATGTACCCTGGCCAATATAAACATACCACGTATGTACCCTGGTCAATACATATGTATAAACGTCCCACGTATGTACCCTGGTCAATATAAACATACCACGTATGTACCCTGGTCAATATAAACATACCACGTATGTGCTCTGGCTAATATAAACATACCACATATGTACCCTGGTCAATATAAACATACCACGTATGTACCCTGGTCAATACATATGTATGAACGTACCACGTATGTACCCTGGTCAATGTTAACGTACCACGTATGTACCCTGGTCAATGTTAACGTACCACGTATGTACCCTGGCCAATGTTAACGTACCACGTATGTACCCTGGCCAATGTTAACGTACCACGTATGTACCCTGGCCAATGTTAACGTACCACGTATGTACCCTGGCCAATGTTAACGTACCACGTATGTACCCTGGCCAATGTTAACGTACCACGTATGTACCCTGGCCAATGTTAACGTACCACGTATGTACCCTGGCCAATGTTAACGTACCACGTATGTACCCTGGCCAATGTTAACGTACCACGTATGTACCCTGGCCAATGTTAACGTACCACGTATGTACCCTGGCCAATGTTAACGTACCACGTATGTACCCTGGCCAATGTTAACGTACCTCGTATGTTCCCTGGCCAATGTTAACGTACCTCGTATGTTCCCTGGCCAATATAGACGTACCATATGTATGGACTCTAGCCAATATAAGCATACCACGTACCCTGGCCAATGTAAACATAAATTTCCACTTACGTGTCCTGTCCAATATATAATGTCCATGTACCTAGCCGAGTACAAACTTACCACTTGTATATCCGGCTGAGTAGAAAAGGACGGTGATCAGCACCCCAACATGCTACAATAGATACAAAGCATTCATTAATTACTACTTGAAGAGTACGTACTGTTATTGTTAAACCTGTTTGCTGATATGTCAATACCTTTGATATAAACTTTAGCCAACATACCAATATTCTTTCAAAAGCGTTATTTTATCCACATTTTGCACGTGTAGAAATCCAACTGGTAAGTCTTTAAAACCAAGAAAATGTTATTGCATCTACCACTAATACAGTGCAACGCTGACCTAGGGACTCGGACCATCTCGTGTAGAAAACTCGGGATACATGGTTTTATAATACTGATACTTAGATTTTAATATTACAGCATGTGCTATCATTCCCTTGATTCGGTTAACAACTGTTTCACTGTGAAAGCTTAGATGTAATAGAGACCAAACAAATGAATAAAAAATGACTAAATATAAAGTTGTCTTTACGCGTAGTGTCAACAGCGGCCAGATGATATAAAAAGTTGTTCTAACGCGTAGAATAAACCGTGGCCAGATCAAGGAAAAAATTGTCCTTACCATTTTTCAAGCTCGTGCTACAATATAAAATAATGCACAAATTAAATTGTCGGTATTTATAGCCTCGCCAATCAGCTCCTGGACCACCTGTCGCGTGCACTGTACGGCCGTGGGCATTAATCAAGAGAAATGTATACACGTAGATGGTAATTAGGACAGAGACAGAATATAGCCTTTGGGCTTCAGTCATTATGCTATCTGTATTATGTTAATCTGTTTTAACATCAAGTAAAGCCCGACAAACTCGCTGTGGTTAAGTCAGCTACCTAGTATGGCGTGGTCACGTGACATCTGTCACAGATAGAGTGCGCGCTACATCTTTCAGTGCACAGGTTGTATATCATACGAAGAGACATCTGCAACAGTATGTCAAATAAACAATACTGAAAGTGTCCTAACACAGCCATATGGTAAATGCCCGAGGATTTATTTTTATTTGACACATATTTTATCATTGTAGATCCAGGCTGAAAAAGTTAACATAAAAGAAGGATCAAAGCGCTTTTGGTTTACTAATATTTCGTTGACAGTATATACATGTACAGGTTGTTTTCCAGCGATACCGTACAATGGTATTATTTGTATAAAACTGATGATTACGATCCAGGTTTTTTTTTATAATTTGTTTATTTTTAAAGACATTTTTATTACATAAATACATAAACACACATACACCCACATACATACAATTCCCATTTGCATGGTTTGTCTCTTGCATCGTCATATCTTTCATCATCATCATCCTCATCGTGACTGAATATCATCATCAGCCTTGTCAATCAACATCAATAGTAATACACCATTATCGTCTTAATACATCATCATCATCAACAACATCATCAATCTATCATCATCATCATCATCCTAGCATCATCATCATCATCATCATCATCATCATCATCATCATNTATCATTGTAGATCCAGGCTGAAAAAGTTAACATAAAAGAAGGATCAAAGCGCTTTTGGTTTACTAATATTTCGTTGACAGTATATACATGTACAGGTTGTTTTCCAGCGATACCGTACAATGGTATTATTTGTATAAAACTGATGATTACGATCCAGGTTTTTTTTTATAATTTGTTTATTTTTAAAGACATTTTTATTACATAAATACATAAACACACATACACCCACATACATACAATTCCCATTTGCATGGTTTGTCTCTTGCATCGTCATATCTTTCATCATCATCATCCTCATCGTGACTGAATATCATCAACAGCCTTGTCAATCAACATCAATAGTAATACACCATTATCGTCTTAATACATCATCATCATCAACAACATCATCAATCTATCATCATCATCATCATCCTAGCATCATCATCATCATCATCATCATCATCATCATCATCATTATCATCATCATCAACAACATTCTATTAATCCATCATCATCATCATCATCATCATCATCATCATCATCATCATCATCATCATCATCAACAACAACAACATCATCCTATCATCATCATCAACATCATCATTCTATCAATGCATCATCTTCATTCTATCAATCTATCATCATCAAATCCATCATCATCATTCTATCAATCCATCATCATCATTCTATCATCATCATCATCATCATCATCATCATCATCATCATCATCATCATCATCATCATCATCATCATCATCATCAACATCATCAGTCTATCAATATATCATCAGCATCCTATCATCATCATCATCATCATCATCATTCTATCAATCTATCAATCTATCATCATGATCATCATCAACAGATGCATCCTCAATAATCATCAATACATCAGTCACATGCTACCATTAATATTTATATGTTCTTATATATATAAAAATAGATATTGACAACCATATACAAATACTCATCCCACCATATATTCTGATAAACATTCACCTCACACACACTTGTACATCTCACACACACAATACAGACAGACTTGTAGAGAGAGAGAGAGAGAGAGAGAGAGAGAGAGAGAGAGAGAGAGAGAGAGAGAGAGAGGGACCATAATAATACACATACATGTAAATGGTTTTACTTTATTCAGACGTACATATGTAATTTAAAGGATAAGAGAAACATGGCAAAGTCAAGGCTTGGGATTCAGGAAAAAATACATATTTATAGGATGACAGGTTATAATTCCAGGATAGGTTTCCATTTTCTCCAATCAATTTCAAATTTCCTTCTTATGTAACTGTTTTTACTATTGTTAACATAGTTCTGAACACGGAAATGGCCTTTGATGACATTGATAAGTGCATTGAGACTCAAAGATTTGTGAAGACATCTAGTCTTATATATATAGTGTTTGATAAGAATTAAAATCTCATTATCAACTGTACTCGCTCGTGGTGATAATATTCCAAAAAGTAACGATTCTTTGTTTATTAAAACAGGGATAAGAAGAATGTCACAAAGAGTTTCAAGTCTCTGCAGTAGTCCCTGCACTTCTTGACATTCCCATAAACAATGAACTATAGTTTCTCTTTCCATATTACACAGATTACATAATGGACTAGGATTTAAATTTGTTTTGAAAAGAAAAGTGTTTGTTACTAGAATATGGTGTATAATTCTAACTTGAAACCACTGCAATTTTGAATTTTTTGTGACTGTAAATGGAATTTTAAGTATTTTCTGCCATTTATCAATATCAAAATCAAACTCCTCATTCCATTTCCTCACCCCAGTAGGTGTTGAAGCTGATGTAATCATGCTGTTATAGAAGTCTTTAGAGCCTTTTTTATTCTTGAAGAATATTTCAAAAAGAAGAGGTATAAAAGGTTGGAATGGTCTTTCTATCTGAAAATCATATTTCCTAAGGAAACGCTTGGCTGATGAGACTAGTCCTTGGTACTCGAGAAAGTTTGTGTTAATTCGAAAAATATGAAGAAATTCGTTAAATGAATAAAAAGTCAAATTATTAGGGTTTTTAACAAGGTCGTTCACTGTAAATACTGATGCCTTAAACCAGTTTGGATAAAAAACGAAACGATCCAGTTTTATTAATCAATTATTACTGGTTACAGTGTTACCGTATCATTAAATAAAAAATAATTCGTCAACAATGCATCTTACCTTGACGTAAGGTATGCCTCAGTAGTATGTGAATGCTGTAGAGCTAACGTGGGGACAGTCGAAATAGCGTCATTGTGCAGTGTAGGTCCGTGGTTTACATACTGTATCTATTACCTCGTGTAATAGGCACACTCGAATGTGTGTGACTCGCGTTCATCTTTCAAGATACAAGGCAGTAGATTATGATGGTTAATTTTTTAGTGCCGTAACCTTGAAAACCGTAATCAAAATTATAAATTGGCTCAATTATCTGTCAAATATATGTAAGTACAATGTATATTTTAAACTAGGTTTCTAATTAAGTGCTTCTCGGAATAGTTTTTTTCATGAATAAGGAAAGAGAATGTTCAATATTCATGAAAAAGGGATCTTTTGAATGAAGGGTGATAGAGAGACATGTAAGTGTTCCATTATATTTATCTGAAGTTTTTGAAAAGATTCTTCATTATCAAATTTAATCATTTTTTAATGTTTGCTTTGTTTGTTAATTGTTTTTGCTTTGTTTTGTTTTTCTTTGCGACACAGGCATGAGCTATGTCGGAACTTGAATACCAACAAATAAGTTGGCACTATTATTTAGGGCCTAGGTCCTTTGGCTGCCTGCCTCGGGGAATACTATTTGTGGAAAACTGATCTCCTGTGCTACTATTTCAGCGACCAATTGGAAAAAGTAGCAAATACGAAATATTATGATCATTTTACCAATAATTAAAATATCATTTTAGAGAAATGATTGCGTATTTCCCCAATCCAGTACTGGACGGCTTCTCGGTATCCAGCAGGCTGTAAAATTGTGGAACAGCTCACGTGACGATTTCTCTGTATACAGGAGGCTGTTAAAGTGTTAAACAGCACACTGGACGATTTATCTGTATCCAGGAGGCTTTTAAAGTGTGGAACAGCACACTGGACGATTTCTCTGTATCCAGGAGGCTGTAAATTTGAGGAACAGCTCACGTGACGATTTCTCTGTATCCAGGAGGCTGTCAAAGTGTGGAACAGCACACTGGACGATTTCTCTGTATCCATGAGGCTGTTAAAGTGTGAAACAGCACACTGGACGATTTCTCTGTATCAAGGAGGCTGTTAAATTGTGGAACAGCACACTGGACGATTTCTCTGTATCCAGGAGGCTGTCAAAGTGTGAAACAGCACACTGGACGATTTCTCTGTATCCAGGAGGCTGTTAAAGTGTGGAACAGCTCACGTGACGATTGCTCTGTATCCATGAGGCTGTTAAAGTGTGGAACAGCACACTGGACGATTTCTCTGCATACAGGAGGCTGTTAAAGTGTGGAACAGCTCACGTGACGATTTCTCTGTATCCAGGAGGCTGTTAAAGTGTGGAACAGCTCACGTGACGATTTCTCTGTATCCAGGAGGCTGTTAAAGTGTATCGTTGGTCAATTTTGTTTCTAAACATTTTCTACGGGTTGGTACAAGTATGGATTATAAAAAAACAAACTTTTTTACACAACCAAAATAATTGTCTATGTGACGTTTCTATGACTTATGTACACTGTCACCTTCATCAGACAAATGACCAGTGAAGCGTATGCACGTTAAGGTGTAAAATGTGTACGAGTTGTCCACAAAATCGATGTCGATTTCGGCTACGCTGTAAGCGTATGTACAATAATTGTTATATATGTACCGAAATGACTCGATTCAGATACGCTTTGTTTAATTCTTGCTCATATATAACACAAGAGCAGAATCATATCGCTAGGGCAATGAGAACATGTACATATCTGGAATGGGCCCTAAAACGGGTACAAAAATAGTGACAAAGTCAGGAGAAGCACAATAAAAGGCCAATAAAGGATAAGAACAAAACCAAAGGTCAAGTGGTCATCCCGTATATAACGGGTATATCGCGGCCATGGCATAGCAAAAGCCATGAAGCCCCACAA